TCAGTTGGTATTTTGAGCTACTACATCCATAAGTATAGGTCAAGTTCATCAAATTGTAGCAATTTACACTTGTTGTTGTTTTTTTTAAATCTTCCTCTAGTCGAGTTCTGATTATCAAGCCACCAAGGCTAGGTCAAATGGATACTAGCTGCAAGTTTGGGTGTTCTTGTGCGTCTCTCCTCGCTTCATATCAGCTGGATGTTTCATGCTGAGCTCTAGCCCTCCGTGGCTATGCCCTTGTCCATGGGCTCAGGAGTCCCCAGGTCTCACCACACCTCAGACCAACCAGTCCTTCCTCTTCTCTCTGACTTACTTTTATACCTGCCAGATTTCATAAATCTAAAAACATGTTTTTAATTAATATCTGTTGAATTGAAATTCAAAGATAGCCTTGACATAAATAGGAAATAGAAATAGAATAAAATAATAAAAATAGAAAATGAAGTTATTACATAGTTTAAAAGACTTTAAAAAAAGTCTTGAAGGGATGTTTCATAACTCGTAAGAACTGTTTAATAAAAAGCAACATTTACATTTGTCCTAGAACATAAGAAAGACATTGCCGACTATTAAAGTAGAGCCTTGTCTCTATGGAAGATATATTAACTTTGGAATCCACAGAGAAGTCCCTCTCTCTCTCTTTTTTAAAAAGGGTTAGAATTTTAAGTTTTGCACCAACTGCAATCATTTATCTCTAATACTCAAGCTGCAAATTCAAAATCCAGTGATTATTCACAATTTGCTCATTAAGTCATCTTTTTTTGTTGTTGCTTCCAATCTGTTTTATTGATTTTTGCCAAGTGAATATCCATTAGGGTGTAACATTAGCTCTTAACCCTTGGATTGGGGAGTCTCTTGCCAAATTATTTATTGCTGCTTAAGTAACTAATTTGGAAGTACATGGCTCTGTAGGATAAGCATCAGAATGCTAACCACAAGGTCGGTAATTTGAGCTTACTAATTGCACCTTGGGAGAAAGATAAGGCTTTCTGCTCCTGGAAAGATTTATAGCCTTGGAAAACCTACGCAGGGTCTCTATGAGTAGAAACTGACTATACGGCAGTTAACAACAACAATATATATTAATTGGAAGTAATAACTGGCATTATAGGATTGTGTTTGGATGACATAAAATTGTATATGTAAAACAGTTTATTTAATTAAAATGCACTATACAATATGTTATTTGTTATTGTACTCCTGGTGTTTTAGTTACTCAGTGTTGCTAAAACAAAAAATACCACAAAGGGATGACTTTAACAAACAGAAATTTATTTCCCCACAGTTTGTTGTTAAGTGTCATTGAGTCAGTTCCGACTCAGAGCGACCTGTATTCTCGTAGTTTAGGAGGCCATATGACCAAGTTCAGAGTCCTGGCTCTAGAGGAAGGTTTTCCCTCTTTGTCAGCTCTGGGAAAAAGTCCTTGTCTCCTTTAGCATCTGTAGTTCTAACAGTCCTTGCAGATCTCATGTGTGTTGGCATCAACCTTCATCTTGGTTCTAGGAGTTTCTCAGTGTTGGGACACCAGGTTCAAAGGATCTGTTCTTGGCTCTTCTTTGTTGGTGGCAGTAGGTCCCTCTGATTTCTGGTGTTTTCCCTCTTGTAAGATAAAAGGTGTTACAGGCCACACCCCAGGGAAGCTCTCCTTACATTGCATCAGGGCTTTTACAGGATTAAAGGCGTTGCATTCCACCCTTAATCCTTTTTGTGGTTTGTCACATCAGATCACATCATGGGGGATCCTCATATAACTGCCACATCACAACATACAACTGTCAAACCATTGACAATAAAGCTCTGGCCAAGTTGTCACTTATTTTGGGGGACACAATTCAGTCCCTGACACCTGAGTTCTACTGAAAGAAAAAAAGGTTTTTTTAGTTCTATATGATGAAAATTCTTTATGCTTTATTTTCTGCTATTTATATATATATGTAATTACTTAAAACAGAAAGCATGTGAATTTCCTCTTTTCATTCTATTGCTACATTTCTAATTTGGAGATTATGCTTTCATTTTAACAGGTGAAAAGGATATAATCTTTTTTTTTGGATATAATCATCCCTAAACATTTTTTTGCTCTTTAGGTAACAAAAAGCTGTTGACACAAAGGCATTGGTATCCATCAATGGAGAAATAGCAATATTAATTTGGGAACATTATTTAGAGAAGTTTTTCTTAGCATTTCGATTGATTCAGATGCTTGCTTTAATTCAAGAGTCCAAGGTCTCACCCCAGATGCAATGGATCATACCCAGCATGGCAGGAGCTGGGCTGTGGTTGTTAGATGCCACTGAGTTGGCTCTAACTTATATTTTAGTCCTAATAGAATAAAACCTTGCTTGGTTTCGTGCCATCTTCACGATTACGATTGTGGGGTATGTTTGAGTTCATTGTAATGACTGTTGTGTTAATTCATCTCACAGAGGGTTTCCTTTGTTTTCACTGACTCACTACTTTACCAAACATAATGGCCTTTTCTAACAATTGCTCTTTCCTGATGATGTGTTCAAAGCAGTGAGCTGAAGTCTGTCCATCTTCACTTGTAAGGAGCAGTCTAAAAAGCACTGTATTTCTTCCAAGACTGGTTTGTTTATTCTTCTGAAAGTCCACAGTGTATTCACTGTCCTCCACCAACACCACAGTTCAAATGTATCAGATCTTTTTCTGTACTGTACTGCTCTCACATGGGTACGAGGTAACTGAAAAGACCAGGGCACGTTTTCTTTATCAAAATGACATCTTTGATTTTTAAAAATTTGAAGAAGTATTTTACAGCAGATTTGTACACTACAATACTTTGATTTCTTGGCTACTATTTCCATGGACATTGACTATTGATACCAGTAAAATGAAATCCTTGATAATTTCATGTTTCCCTTCCATTTCTCATGATGTTGTTTATCAGTTCAATCACTGATGTAGTTCATTGAAAGGAATCTGTTGTCAGATAACCGGTGCTAGTTCTTTCCTTGACACATCTGAAGAACTTTGTGCAAAACTTTTTGATAAACTTCAATATCTTCATTTGCAAGTCATAGTCCTGTACCTACTTTATAGACCATTTGTGGGGATCAAATCAGATAAAGCAAACTAGAAATGGTAATTAAAATATATTCTTGTTATTATAATTAGAGACAGCATATGATTGCTGAATAAAGAGTACACATGGTTAACTGCCTTGAGAGATGAAATGGAACCCACACTGTACATGGCATTTTTGCCTAATCCAATATCACACCAAAAAAGACCTCTGAGGGAAAGGGAGGAAAGTATAAGGAGAGAGAGGGCAACAACTCACCGAAACAAATGCTTGAGAGTAGGTTTCGTTCAACTGAAGTTGCAATTTTTTTTGGTTATCATAGACGCCATAGAGCCTCTTCGACCAGGTCTGAGGTACTCTGTTCTTGAATTTTAATGAATTGTATAAAGCAAATATCCTTTGTAAGTCTAGGACCAGACAGCTGCAGTTGTAGAAGATGACACCCAGTTCTTTCATCTGTGAAATTAAAATCGAAAGCATCATCACTGTGTGTGTATCTGATGGAGTTATTTTCAGAGAGAAAGAAGAGAATGCAGCAGTAGTGACATCTCGTTTCTTATATTTATTGTAACATGAAAATAATGTAGCTATAGTTATGCTATGGTACAGTTATCAAAGTGTTTAAATATCTAAGTAGAAAAACTTTTGTTTTCCTTTTGTATTTGGGTTCCTAATCATCATTTCTGTATATTCACCTACCTTCTCAAAACAATTCTGATTTGTTTTCTTAGCATTACTATTTAATATAATTCTTAAAACATGCAGCAATCAATATGCTCACTTTTAATCACAGCACACAGAATGGTTAAGATCATGGACTATTGAATCTGATTGCCTGGATTTCAATTCCAGTTCCAGGCTGTCTAGCTGTGTGTGACTTCAGACAAGATGGTTAATCTCTGTACCTTAGTTTCTTCTTCCATAAAATGTAGACCATAATATTTATTTCATATGTCTGTTGTCTTAGGTATCTACTTTTTTTTTAATGTTTTATTGTGAATTATGAGACAGTTTACATGGGAGCACATTAGTTTTACATTCATCCTATCGTATATTGTTTCATTGCCATGGTTACAATCCCCTCCATGCATCATCAACCAACCAAAAGGTATACCCTGCAAGCCTGCCCCCCAGTAATCAGCACACAGCCCCTCTCCATCTCTGGGTCTAGCGTCCCCAGCCACTCCATCTTTCCATGTCATCATCTCTGCCTCCATCTCTGGTATCACTGTTTCTCTGGGTAGGGTCCCGCACTCTGCTCTTCTCCCTTGATGGTCCCAGGAACCTCCACTCCTGGACTACAAAGTCAATCAATCTCCTTCTTTTGCTACAAAATGTCTACCTTTATAGTTCCAACCCTCACAGTCAGTCCTGATAACAATTATTCACTATTGTACCACAAGAGAACTATCCCCATCTCCTTTCATGAGCCCTGCCCAGATAGATTGGATACTACTCAGTGGAGATTCTACCTTCCTCTGTGCCCTCTGGATCTAGGCTCCCTTTTGAAAGCATGTAAGACAGTCACTTCTTGCCTCTGTAGACCTCCATTTTGGGTAGCCAATGTCCAAGTTGCCCATCCCTGTCTACTCTGTGAATGGAGGGGGTGGGTATGATCCTCACTGTAAAGATTTGTTTCCTCTTTTGAGCTATGCATTCATAGGTGTAGGTCAAGATCATCAAATTGTATCAGATTACTCTTTTTTTTCTCCTCTTTTTTCTTCTAGTTGAGCTCTGATCATCCAGTCATGGAAGCCAGGTCAAGTGGGTATTATCTGCAAGTGTGGGTGATCTTATGAATATGCCCTCTCTTCTTATCAGCTGGATGCTTCATTCTCCAATCCAGTCCTCTGTCGCTATGTCACTGACTCTGGGCCCAAGAGTTCCCAGGTCTTGCCACACTGCTGGCCAAGCAGGTCTCCACCCAAATTCACAGGAGTCTATTGAACATTGTAGGGCTTATCTCAGAGCTTCATTGCTATTTTTCCCTCACTTCCTCTTATTGGGGATGAATGTGGTCACCAATCAGATTGCATGTCTGCTCGTGTATTCCCATTGAGTTTTAGTCTTGGAAGGGGGTTTGCTCTGAGGGCACCCAACCACTTGCCTTGATGTCTCCTGGGCAAGCAACTTGCTTGTTCTTGTAGTAATCAGTCGGACAGCTGTTATTGTTTTGTATTTTTCCTGT